CAGCAAAACAAGAGTTCCACGCAGCCGCCGTACGACCGCTGAAGCCGCTGCCCATATCGTCAAATCCCGGAGATTTAATCACTATTGACTTCATGGATATAAAAGTCGAGAGTTGAAACCGAAAGAGCCAGGTCATGGTTGTGGTAGATGGGTTTACTATATTTGCCGTTTTTATTCCCCTGCCGCCTGAGACCAAGACTGATTTAGTGATTAGAGAGTTTTTCAATCATTCGAGGATTAAGAACACCCACTTACAATAGTTAGTGATAGAGATACTGGGTTCACCAGCGAACACTGGCAACAACTGATCAAAGTCTATGGGTCAAAACTAACAATGTCATCTGGTCAGCACCCGGAGACAAACGGTCAGACAGAGCAGACGAATAAGGTGTTACAGCAAATGTTACGCATGTACATCAGGCCTAATCAGATAGATTGGGATGGACACTTACCTAAGGTTGTGAGCGCATACAACAATTCAGTGCACCTTGCCACTGCAGACGCACCAAACGAGCTACATAACTGCCTGAATCCTGCTCACATTTAGAGACTGCCACCAGACACTAGAGAATCTGCGCTCCAATATGAAAAAGACCTATCAGGAAGGCCCAACACCAGATGGTAGAGCAGGCAAATAAACACCATAGACCATCTAGATTTGCTGTTGGAGATTTAGTCTGGGTCAAGTCAAAGGAATTCATACCTGAGGAAGGGATTTACCAAAAACTACTATTTGCTTATAGAGGGTCGTGGGAAGTATTACATGCTGTAGGAGATCCAGATGGTTTGTCCTATACAATTGATATACCAGCACATTTACATATTTACCCGGTTTTCCATGCTTCAAAGTTGTTGTCTTGCGTTGTCAATCACATATTCCTCTCACACAGGTCTATGATCCCACCTGATATGGACGGCAGACATTACATCAACCGCATTCTAGGTGAGGATATCTGCTAAACAGGTCGAAGGCGTGGACCGCAAAAACAGTATCTAGTCCGGTTCCAGTACCAGCAGCCAAAAGATGACCGTTGGTACACGAGGGATTAGCTAAGGGAGACTACCCCGAACAATGTGCCGTACTATGAACGGGCTAGAAGGGGAGAAAGTGTTATAAACCGGTAAAGCAATGAGCTTTCTCGGAGGACCCCGAAAGTAGGCTGGCGGGGGTGAAAGGATTTCATGTTGTATCCATGTCCCAAGTCCCAGTCCCGGAGTCACATTGGGCCCGTTCCCAAACAGCCGCAGTCACTCTGGTGCGACAGGTCCCAATCCTAGGAGTCGTAGGGTCCAGTAGTTGTACGTCCGATACCTTAGAGGGAAAGTCCACAGGCCCAGAGTGCAATTTTGCAGCAGCATCCTGGGAAAGTCTGGTAAGTTCCAGAATTGGCAAACGACAGCCAACAGGCCGCATCAACCGATACCGGTCCAGAGCCGACAACGATTCACTTCAGCTGCTACAGTGCTTCATCGGGTCACTTGTCAGTTTGCATGTTGCAGAAGCTCTGCTGCGGCGCTTGTGCAACAGCTCGAGTTGGGCAGCCGTGTGTCCAGGAAGAAGGAGGGCACCCATGCTCCATAGCTAGGGCTACCGAGGAAGAAGACGGTGGCCATAGCCATGGGGTAGAAGTTAGTAGGAGAGAGAGAAGGTTGCTTGGCGAGTGCATTACGAGAGCAAGTCTGAGCGATCCAAGGCTGAGAGCGAGAGGGAGAAGGGAGAGATACAAGCAAGGGGGAAGAGAGAGAGAGAGAGAGAGAGAGAGAGAGAGAGAGAGAGAGAGAGAGAGAGAGAGAGAGAGAGAGAGAGAGAGAGAGAGAGAGAGAGAGAGAGAGAGAGAGAGAGAGAGAGAGAGAGAGAGAGAGAGAGAGAGGAGTGGTTTGAACGGCGATTAGCAGCCATAAAAAATTGTAATACATGCTTGGAACTCGTGTGAATGTCGCTAGGGGAGGCAATCTTTGCTGTTTGGGCTAACTGCCATCTCTCTGGTGTGGTGTGAGCTTTCTGTGAAGTTTCATTGCTGATGCATGTCGGAATTTGCCATTAAATTGTCGTCGGTTCACTGCACTAGACGAATATACGGCCAAATTCAGGTACCTGCTAGGGGTCAAGACAGGCGATGTGGATACGGAGACTCTCAGCAGGCCTGATAGATCCTGTCATTCGTCACCCATAGGAGGTGGTGTCGTACATGCAGTTACGGGTTTATAATTCCAAGATCGTAACTGATCGTGTTTTTTTTTGTTTTTTTTTTTAAACAGGTCCTTATGTCAGCTCCATTTCCATTCTGGGGAGCATCAGTCCGGTTCCTATTCCACCGGCAAGTCGGAATAAAACATTACATCATGAAACCCACTCACGCTTCCTTCCGTCCGGCCGAAGGATCCCTGACCAGCATTGATTACTCCAACATCGTGGAGGATCGACTGTCAGCTTGCCTTACTTCCTCCTTTCCTCTCAGGTCTACTGCATAAACCTGTCAGATAAATGATAAAACGCAAGAACGGTAAAAGAAGCCACGGAAGATGTAATATCGGAATTCGCCCTCCAACATTATGTGACCTGTGATGGAACTAGTCCTCCTGCTGGCTGGGAACTCTGCCTTCTCCTACCTGCTTCTGAGTCGTGCCAGTCTTTCCATCGTATGCGAGAGTCAATTATCTCTGCCACTTTGCCCCTTGCAAGCCACACCTTAGTGAAATTTGCCTTGATTCTTTTCTGTTGCTCTTCGTCATCTGGCATGGATTGTCTTGTCTTATGCCACTTGCAAAGAATCTCCGCCTGAATCAGGGTCCTTGTCTCCGCCCATACCTTCTCCCTTGGAGTCAAGAGTCCCTCAATGGTTCTGCAGCACCTTTCCTTCCAGATGGACCACAGCGTTGTCTTTCTGATCATTTCAAACCACATTTTTTCTGTCTTATGGAATCGAGCTGGGATGTTAGTCCATAGAAGGAGCTGAATGGGATGTTCAGGGAGGGGAATCAAGAAAAGGGAGTCCCAGAGATCCGAGGCTCTCGCCCAGTATTCCGTCACCTCTCTACAGCGTTTCAGGCACAATCGAGAAAAGGGAGTCCCAGAGATCCAAGGCTCTCGCCCAGTATTCCGTCACCTCTCTACAGCGTTTCAGGCAATGTAGCATATCTTCTGCTTCATTTTCTGAACATACCGCGCATAAATCTGAACTGTTAGGGTCGTTCTTGCTTTTTCTGATATACAGCCAGTGGTTAACCGAAAGTGCTACATATGAGATGAGCCATTGGAGGCTTCTGATTTTGACCGGACAGATTGACTTGAATTTCTTCCATGGTATTTGTGGGATCTGACTAGCGTCTTGGCCTATTAACTTTTGCCATCTGTTCTTGATCGTTGGGTCAGGATATAATTCCAAGATCGTACCTCAGGAAACTTGAGAAAATGAGCGTTTGAAAGGAGTGCACATATGCACGGCGCTATGAGGGGGAGAAAGGGACTAGGACCAAAAGCAGAAGGCGCCCTAGTCGACTATTCGCCTCTAAGGCGTGGGAGATCAGCGCCCCGTAACCTTGGTCACAGGCAGGTTCACCAAGGTGTTGTCCGCTGCGTATACGACATTGACGAATGAGCGAATTCCCACGGCTGATATAACTCTAACGCAGCAGGTAAAGCTGCCGCACGTGCATCAGTAGCTCGGTAGGGATAGGCCCCCAAGGGTGGTGACAACCCCTTGGGTATGGGAAGCTCACCCCGTTGGCCCTATCCTGTCATAGGGCTAGGCGGGATGAAAGTTGGCTCACCCAGTCGGAGTGGTGAACTGTTGAAGTGCACTCTGCATATTAAGCCCCCTGTGTGACACGACTGGGAGCGCCACCTCTAAGGTGGGAGCCGATGCGCTCGACAATGGTCTCATGCCTGCCCACAGGGGGCATAGGAGCAGATATCGTCATTTGGAACGAAGGAACATCAACACCCTGTAGGGCAGAAACAGAGATAATTGAGGCAACAAAGAAACAGGCTTTTCATCCCTGGACGAGCAGCCATGCAGCACACACTGTTGACGATACACATCAAGAGTTGTGGTGTGGCAAAATGGAGATGAGCATGTCTCTGGCTACAAAGGTGGAATAATGGGAGCAATTGGAACAGGAGAGTATGTTCGCAAGCGAGGGCGTGGAGGAGACGGGGGTGACGAGGAGGAATGCAGCCGTCTGCGCCAAGCACAGAAACATATGAGAGGGGGGTTGATTGGCCAAGAGTTCGAAATAGAGTCGTCCTGATTTTGCAGCAGCGGCCCAAGTCCAAACAGGCCGACCGGACCCACGAACATGCAGTCAATTGGCAAGGCCGACGGTACCGGTCCAGCGGACGAACAAGCAAGTCAAGCGTGCTATTAATAGTGGCTACAGTGCAGGGACTCGTCAGCAGTTCAGTTGCAACTTTGCGGAAGCGCTGCAGGCGACTTGTGTGATTGTGCGACTGTGTGATTGGTAACCATAGCGCTATAAGCGCTGTATTAGGGTTCAGGACAGAGCTTGTTGAGGGAGGTCAGCGCATGCATCCAGGGTGATCGCCGTAGAAGTAGGTGCAGAGGAGGAGCGAGTGAGGCAAGCGGTACAGCGGTACAAGACTGGAGAGGGAGAGAATACCATGGAAGAGAGAGAGAGAGAGGAAGTAGAATAGGTCGGCGGTTACATACCTGAGTGAGTCGAAGTTGGCCACCAGAGTGCGCAGCGGGCATTGCTGCCTGTATATAAAAACTCATTCACTGTATTTTCATAATAATTTGAGCACATTCTTCAAGCATGCGGATTTGTTTCATTTTGTTTGCGAGGCATGAATCTTGAGTGAATGTTCTGCATGCTGCGCTGAATTTGATTTGGATCCTGACAGGATCATTGCAACCGCCGCATATCTATCTACTGAACGAGCACACTTTGCAAAACAAACAACAAAAATACAGAACACAAACATGAAGTGCACACTGAAACTGTTATTTGATAATTTATATACAAAGATTGTCACGAACCTGAGAGATCATAATCACATTTGCACCCACTTCCTTGACAGTCATGAATATCTCTCCAGCTGTTCCTGGAACACCTGCCATTCCCGTCCTGGAGCGTACAAGCAACATTTCAACCACTTAGCACACATTTCCAATGGGACTAGGTGGTCTTCATTTTATGGCACAAACAACATGGCAATAGTCTTCATTTTATGGCAAAAGCACACGTGCAAGAAACCTGCCCCCGAGAACTCAACGCATCACCAAAAAGAATTCACTGTTCAGCATGCATGAGAAGACCAGACTGAAAGCAGGATGGAAAGGGTGGGATCACACCAACACAAGAACGCACACAAGCTAGTATCTCTCAAGTATGAAAGCCCTCTTCACACTTCCAACCAATGCAACAACATAGTCCACCCTCGCCCTTGGCATCTCCAACCAGCGACTTTTGACTGCCTATCCTACTTCCCAGTGTAGCCTATCGATCACGCAGAGCTCTGTCCTGCATCCGCCAATGACAGCGTGAAGAGTCGGCCACACTGGAGCTGTTCCTTCTGACCACTAGAAAAGTATCTGCCAACCTTCCTAACGGCCTTCCTCAGTTCATCAAGGACATCCCCTGTTCTATCGGCACCCTTACTGTCCAGGGTACCCAACCAGATATGGTGCCTGTCCCGGTATGGCGCTGGTTGACTGCACAGTCATCCCTTCCTCTCACGCACTTCAAGTTGGCGGTCCTGCAGCTTGGTGGTGACCTGAGTTCCAACATCCTTGACTGGCCTAGTTTTTTTTTTTTTTTTTTTTTTTTTTAATATCTCCCCCAACAGTGTTAGTGGTGCTGGTAAGAGCAGACACCACTAGCAGCTGGGGAGAGGCTCCGTCTATTGGTGGGGAGCATCACCTGCTGGAAAGCGGGTCCAGCGTCCCATTTACAGACTGAAAGTACATTAGTGAAACGATTTTGGGAGTTCCTGCCAGCATTGATTGCCCTGGAAACCCAGGGGATTGACTGAGCAGGGCATGAAGAAGAAAAAGGGAGAGGCGGAGAACCTCTTCGCCCAGAAACGGGCGCCGGATACTTGCATCTAGACCCTAGTTCCTCCCTCCCCCTATCAGCCCCAGTCCCAACTGTCAGTTCCGTTTTTTCAAGAAGATCGAAGAGGACGCTTGCCAGCATTGATTACTCTGTCTCCAGAGGATTGACTGTGCAGGAACCTCCTCATCCTGTACCAAGTGCCAGATTCCTACTGCAGGGTCCAGCATCCCATCATCGTTTATAATCCTCTACCGACAGCTAGGACTGCTGGCGACTCTCCAATCTAAGAGAAGTAGTAATATTTGCAACAGGCGAACCGAGGGTCGCCTCTTCAGTCTGAAACCAGACCGCCAAATCACACCTATTGCCCTAGTGGCAGTCCCCAATTCCTCTTGGTGACAGTTCTCAGACATCTCCGTAATTACCCCGTGTCCCCCGTTTAGTCCGCGCCGTACCATTCCATATCCACCATTGCCAATTGGTGGGGTGGGAAGGGGTCAGGAAATTATGTGGCTGGTCGCATTGGGATCTCCTGGTCCACAGTGGTCCAGTCTCTGAAGCAGATGCGATAGTTTCTCCTGAACTCCTCCTGGTTGCCTACCTGGGCGGGCTTTCCTTCCCAGCCGACAGATGCAATCCAACCTCCTTTCTCGCTGCCCAACCAGTCTTCAAAAAATTGGTGAATTGCTTGTGTTATGTCCTTTGCTGTATGATATAAATCGAGTTGGTTTTTAGTTTTTTACCATTGTACCATGAGTTCTTGTTGAATGTATTGCCTTATCATGTCCGTTGCCTCTTCCCCAGTTATGCGGGCACCTTCTATGGCGTGAATACACCGTTTCCTCCATAGGGGTCACATGACCGCTCTCCTCCCTAATTTGAACATGTTGTTTTCAAAGGGATTGTCAGTGGGGGAGGACCATGTCTCGCATAATATGGCTCTCCAGTCCCATGGCCAGTTAAAATCAGTACCCAACTGGGTCCAGATCCTATCCCACCATCACCATGTGAGAACTGCCCCTGGGCCCTTCTGCTCCAGATATGTGCGATATATCAACCAATCATTGGTGGGCAGGGAGCGGTGTTCTATCTGCCATTGTAGGGAGGCCATCTTCGCAGGTCTGGACCTTGTGGCGGTGAACCATCGAATTGTGCGGATTGCCTCAGTCCCTACGTTCAAGTGCGACCTCCATCGGGCTTTCACTACTTTTATGTTCACCTTCGGTCGTAGCAGACGATATGTGGCCTTCACCGTTTGAGTGTGCAAATTCAGATTTGTTTCCGACCTGGGTTTTCGGTCCACTGCCATTCGTCCGGGTCAAAGGGTAGCTCCATCACGGGGTTATTTGGCTGATATGCAATCCAATTGTCTTTATCCTGCAACACCCAAATCATGTGCAGATCTGCAGTTGTCCACCATCTCATTGCTTCTGGGAGGTATCGGGTAAGCTTTTTTTCCTTGCCTATGTGAAAGAGGCTTACCAACGTTTCGGCAGTTCGCACCTCCACCACATTGCCTACACTTTCCGAATCCTCCGGGCAGCTACCCATTCTCCTTCCATTAGCCGGGGCCCTTGGCGTAGAATACGCACCCAGTCAAGTGGGACAGCAGCGATCAACAGATCAATATTCTCCTCAATCTTGTGGCAGTGTTTGAGTATGGTTCTCAGTTGTGGCCCCGTTTCCCAGTCCCCCACCTCTATGTTCCATGACTTTTATTCTAATTATGCCTTTTTTGACCCAGCTGCTCCACGGGGTGTCTGAGCTACGATACACTCTGCTGTGTCGGTCCGTTATCCTTCTGTTTCCAAAAAGGGGCCGACGCATCACCTCCTCCCATCTAGTTAGCGGGGTTTGGTCAGGCAAAAGGAGTTGGCGCCAGGCCCTCAGGACCCGGGTCCAGAAGTCGTCTCTGACCAGGTCCGAGCGAGTTGTGTCTCGAGGTGAGTCTCGCTCTACACGGGGGCACCGTGGCACAGTCCAAAAGCGGTCTTCTAGCCAGGTCAATGGGCTAACTCCTTGCTGTGTTTGTGGGGCAAGTCTGGCTATCTGTTCCAGTGCCAGGGCAAACCATTAGAGGTGCTGAGTGAAAAGCGATCTCCTAACCCATTGGACAGTTAATGTTGTGATCTGAGTATCCGGGTCCAAGATCCCTAGGGCCCCTTTGTCTTTGGGTTGGATCACCGATAGCCAGGTCCTGCACTTCGGCCAGTGGGTACTGCCTACACAGTCCATGCAGAGCTACCGGGTCCTCCCCTGTGAACTGACAAGGGAACTACTGACCCTGCACTACCTGTTGTGTGGTCCAGTGGCCTCACACATGGCAGTATAGAGAAGATGGCTCCAACAAAGAATCCAACATAGCTGCAAATTGAGACCAAGACTATTTTAGGTTGTTCAAGAGAAGAGTGGGAGGAGTGCATATTCTGTCCCTGGCGAGTAGCCAGCTGGTTGGATCACAGGAAGTGACAATAGGATATCAAACAGATTCCAAATGAAGGTTAAGGATCCCCTTACCATCTGTCGAATGGTTGTGGCTGCCAGAAAAAGGGCAGAACTACGGAAACCCCCATCCAGATAACACACTTTAGAATTAAAATGGGATACAGAATGTTGCTCAAGACAAACGATCCTGAGCCTACAATCAAACATAGATAAAACAAATTAATATGCGAGGATTCATCACCTCGGCAAGTCCGAAAAAGGCCCTGCTTGCCCTAAGTGAAGGCATGCCTAATGAAATTAGCGCAGGCTTGAGTACAGGCCAATGTGAGCATGATGGGCCCCCCAGGTAGTTGCTGCATACATGCAGCGTCTTCAACTAACGGGCAGGCCCAGCCTACAAATTCGTTGAAGATGCAGGGCCTCATGCAGATTCTGGAAGGGCCAAGGGCACAGGGTACTGGGATTGGGCAGAGCATGGGAAGAGGATGCACGGCCTCTCCAGCCACCACAAAAGGCTAGAGGGCGCAGCACTGGACACTCGGGCATTCAGCATGGGGCAGTGCAACACGAGCAGCTTCTTAGCGCGTGTGCCTGAAGAAGGAACCTGCACGGTGGCAAAAAGGAAGAGAGAAGGGAGAGCGGCAGCCATAGCCTGGATGCTCGCTCCATAGTTGAGAGGTGGAGTAGTCGGGGTCCTGGGTGGGACAGGGAGTGGGAGAGGAAGAGAGGCAGGTACCTGGTGTGTTGACAGAGGCAGGATGTTCAATCAGAGTCTTCACGCGGCATTGGGATGATGACACATGGACCACATAATTAGGCTAGTCTAATAGGAATTGTAGGAGGTAGAGTCGACAATATAGCCGCCTTTACAAGGGATACGTTGTTGTTGCGTTGGCGATTGGAGACGTTGCAAGGGCTCTCATTATCAAAAGACTTGCTTTGCTCATTCCTATTTGGTGTGATACTTGCTTTGATTTATGCTTTCAATTTTGGCTAAATAATGTTTGGACTTTTGTGAGATGTTGCAACTTGGTTTATTGTTCGCATTGCATATTTCCTTGCAAATAGGTCCAGAAGCAGAACACATCATTAGAATGCAGTGGAATTTTTTCAAATCCATGCGACCAATAAAAATTAAGCCTCCAATGGCTCATAACGCATGCCGCATTCCCAGTAAATCACTGGCTATACACATAAGGAGAAGGAATAATGACCCAAACACCTCGGATCTTTGAGCAGTTTGCTCGGATAATGGATAGGAAGATATGATACACTACCTAATCAAATGCAAGGAGACTACCGAGTATTGGGCTAGAGCATCCGACCTATGGGCTTCTCTATTTCCCTCTTCATTTCCTGAACACCCAACCCAATTGCTCCTGTGAACTAACACCCGTTACTTTGGCAAACTAGAAAACATTTGTTTGGTATGATACGAAAGGTGACAATCTGGATCATATGGAAGGAAAGATGCAGCAGAACCTTAGACAAATCCAACAGTGCACATGACAGAGTGTGGGCTTCAACCATGTCGAGCGCATCGGTCCCGCAAGGGGGACCCTCCCGGCCGCGTCTCGCAGGATTTTTGCATTACTTCTTTCGCAGAGCGGTGCCGCTTATGCCGGGTGCGTCAGCCGTACCTCTCGTGAACCCCTACGACAGGATAGAGATTACGCGAGGCACAAACTTACCTCTACCCGCGGGACCTGTCACCTCCCTAGGTAGGCATATCCTCACCGAGCTACCGAACCACGTGCGAAAGCTCCTCGAGTGCAATCGCAAAGGTGGCCCAAGCAAGGGTGTTTCTCGTTCGTTGTAGCATACGAGGTATGCACAGTCGACACCTTAATCGAACTTGCGTGTGAACCGACGCTCTGGGGGCTGATCTCCCAAGTGCGGTTCTGCGTCGGCCGACTAGCACAACCAGTTTAACCACGTGATACACTTTCAAAAATAATATAAAACCAAACTTCACACATAAAATTGAGCCTACTCCTTGTTCCCACTTTCCCCCCATAACTTTTCAACAACTGAATAAGCAGGCGTCACGCACGAGACTCCGGATAAATTGCGCAGGGACGCAAACTTCATCATATCGACTAGCCATGCACAAAGATGCAAGCAATCTCCATGATGGCATACTATATGATGCCCATAACCATGCAGTCCTCAATGGTTTGGAGGGTCGCTTTCGACACTCAAGTGTCGGCTGACATGTCTCTTGAGGGATTAAACTCATAACACTAGACAATCGCGAATGTGGTTGTGTGTCCTACCCTTTTCTGCACACTACGGAGAGGAGCTGAGGACGGGCTTCGGCCTTCTGTGGTGACGAAATGCCCCTCACTCTTGGGAAGAGGCCCTATCTTCTACGACCTTGGAACATATCAAGGGGTTTGACTTCGACAATCGTCATGGACCTCAACGTCCAACTGAAAACTCAACAAGCAAAATCAAAGGAGTTCCCCTTTTTCTCTCAACCCAATTCGCTCAACCCTCGCACATGCTCAATCAAGTCATGCGAATACAGATAGTGGGATTATTGAACATGAGGCGATCACTCTCACAATCACAGTGTGACTTCCTTCGAAATATAAAAATGATTACAGGCAAGGTCAAATCTAGACTCCACAATCACTCTGATTGGTATAAAAAAAGTTTAAGGGAAATTTTGGTATCATCTCCCCTGTACAAGATGGATTGCCAAGGTTTTTCCTAACTAAAAAATAATGAACTCCTTGAAACTAGAAAAAATTTGGCAACACTTCCCATAGAGAAAGTGCTTTCTCATAATTTATACTCAGCTAAATCTGAAATCTGAAATAAGACTTCCGACTTTACAGAGTCAAATTTTATCTAACTCCCTGAATCGGTAAACATTTTGGAGCACTTCCCTTAGAGAAGTAGGCTTCCAAGATTTAAACTAAGTCAGATATAAGTTCATATAGCTTAAAGATAAAAGTTGGGAATTCTACAAAGACAATAAATTTTGTCTGACTCCGTGAATCAGTAAAAAAATTGTCCAACTCCCTGAATCAGTAATTTTTTTGGCACCACGTCTCTTAGAGAATCGTGCTAAGTTGGGAGTTCTACAAAGACAATAAAGTTTGTCTAACTCCGTGAATCAGTAAAAAATTTGTCCAACTCCCTGAATCAGTAAAATTTTTGGCACCGCGTCTCTCAGAGAAGTGGGCTTCAAAAATTTATACTAAGTCAGATATAACTCAAGGACAAAAGTTGAGTTCGACAAAGACAACAAATCTTGTCTAACTTTCTAAATCAGTAAATTTTTTGTCCAACTCCCTGAATCAGTAAAAAAATTGGCAGCACTTCCCTTAGAGAAGTAGGCTTCCAAGATTTATACTAAGTCGGATATAACTTAAAAACAAAAGTTGTGCAAAGACAAAACTAACTCTTTAGATGTGTAAATTTTTTGGCAACACCTCCCCTAGCGAAAGTGACTTTCCAAAATTTATACAAACCTAAACAGAAATCCTAACCTAAAAAGAATTTTGACTTCACAAAGTTAAATTTTGTCAACTCTATGAATTAGTGAGAATTTCGAGAACACTTTCCTTGGAAAGGGTAGGCTTCCAAGATTTATAATAAGTCGGATATAGGACTAAGACAAAAGTTGAATTTTGCAAAGACAAAATTTGACGAACTCCTCGGATTTGTAAAAATTTCGGCAACACTTCCTCTAGCGAAAGTGCCTTTCCAAAATTTATACAAAGCCAGATATAAAGTCAGAACAACTTAACTTTGAAAAGACATACAAAGCTAGATATAAAGTCAGAACAACTTAACTTTGAAAAGACATACAAATCCAGATATGAAGTCATAACTTAATTTTGAAAAGACGAAAATTGAACCCATAGTGCTCCCAAGGCTAAGACTAGCACTTGCAGAATACCATATGAACAGGAACCACGGTGTGCGTGAGCCTACCGAAACACCCCAAGGCCGCACCTATTTAATCCTTTCTTTAATTCTCTTTTAAAAAAAAAGCAGGTCCTTATGGTCCTGGCTCCTTTTCCATTCTGGGGAGCGTCAGTCTCGTTCTTATTCCCCCTGCAAGTCGAATTGAAATACATAAGAGTACACGCTCACACTCCCTTCCGTTTGGGCAAAGGATCCCTGACCAGCATTGATTACTCTCGTGTAGGAGGATTGCCTGTCAGCTTGCCCTACCCACTTGATCCTCTCAGGCTCCAAATCAGGGCCTGTCAAATAGACATCTGCAAAACAAGAACAGTGAGAGGTACAGCTTCCATTTGAACTCGTATGTCTTTCCCAACCCCCCTTACCAGAAGAGGAGAAGCACAAATGCATTTCTCTGCACCTTTGAAGGAACTGAATCATGAAGCTGCAGAGACGGAGGTATAGAAAACTGTGATGGAAGGCAACCAACTGCAGGAATTGAACAACTAGGCTTGCAGTGTTGCCCAGGCCCTGACTAACCCTTGCCAATGTATCCAACTATTTAATGCAACAGAATAGAAGAGATCTGAGACCCTAATTTCTGAGAAAGGTTCCAAAAACGTAAAAAGAAGAGTGAAACATCAAAGGTTCAGATGACACATTAACACATCACGTGGGAATCTTGTCAAGCTTTTAGGCACCAGCACAACATCATCATTGAGCAAGAAGAGTGTTGCTTACCCCTCCACGTTAATTATGGCAACATGGTCGATGGTCGCAAACCCTTTCACACTCCCACTCTCCTCGCTGATCGCAGGGTCCTGATCTGAGGAAGTAGAGGGCCCGATCCAAGTACCAGGGAATGACGGACGGAAAACATTCTTGATGATGATTGGGATGTTGTACTTCATGGCTGGCAAGGTTGTCCTTGGATGAAGCACATTGGCACCGAAGTATGACTGCCTCAAGCATCGGACCGTGCACAGACAGGAGGAACGCCAAAGGCCCACAGCGGGAGAAGAGGTCAGCGGGATGGTTGCTCTAGAAGCTGATCAGGCAACTTCACAAATGCATATTCTGTGAAAGGATAACCCAGTAGACATAAGAGACTCCCAATCTGGCTGGCAAATTGAATTAAGTCACGAACTTGCACACGTTCAATTCCGAAACCATTCAATCAACAACCAAGTCAAACCTGGGTAGCAGCTCATGCGAGCCCCAACATTCACAGAAATCCATGTTACGCAGAGCCAAATGGAAAGCAATGCACCAACAACCTGTTCCAGAGAGCCTCAGCAAATCAATCTGATAAAGACGAAGTCCTTGGACCGAAACCACGTTCTCTTTTGGAAATGCATAGTTGTTGGATTGACTCCAGTCTGGGTACACCATATACATCTCCATATGTATAATATGACAATATACATATACAAGAAGAGCCAGCACAGCTCCGCCTGCGTCATAAGGAGTATGATGGATGATGCAATGATACGCGAGAGAGCCGAGGGTGAGTGGTGGATCAGACAAGAGAAGATGAAACAATTGAAGTTGTAGGCACTGTTGACAGTTGGAGAAAGTTGTTTGACGTGCATTCAGGCGTAAAGGGCAAATGCGGGCAGAAAAATAAGGAGCCATGACTGCAGCAGGGAAAGAAAATCACGAACTGAAGAGAGCAAGGAGAGCTCAGCTGGTCCATGATCGTTGTCCCATTTGGAAATGATGGAGTAACAGGCAACTCCAATGATGAGGTTCCATTTCCGCAAAGAAAAAGGAACGAAGTTGACAGAAATGAAGCAATTTAAACTGAAAGTAGGAACATTGTACAGAAAACACAAATTCATCATCGTGTAAGGACCTGCAAAAACAAACACTGAGAACACTGCTGATTTCTGAGTTTTGGCGCTGGAAAGTGTGCCTTGCTGAGATTCCCGAGTTCTGCCGAATTTTCAAGTCTGTGTGTGTGCGTGCTTGCTGGGCCGTGTGCCTGTCTGAGTGTTCGTCGGCCTGAGGGTGTGTGTGTCCGCCAGGGCACTTGTTTGTTTGGGAGGAGTGTGAGGCCGGTACTTACCTGTGGCCGTGACTGTGGGGGTTGCAGCGGGGAAAAGCACTCAGGTAGCGTAGTGTCGGTAAATATCAGGTCTGCAATGATGTTTCCCTCCGAAAGGGAGGAGGTACCGGTTGCTTGGAGGCCATGCGGCCTGGAAGTCACCACCCAAGAGGCTAGTAGGCCGCTATATCTCCAGGAAGAGCGAGTTGCTCCTCCTCATTTGAGGCACGCAAGTTCGGGGGTCACACTGCTGGAGCACCTGGAGGAGTGCTCGTGTGCAGCGCTGGGGGAAGAGGAGCACCCAGCCCTCCACCTTCGGCTATGGTGGAAGGGACTGGGTAGTAGGAGGAGGAAGAACGGGACTAGGGAGGAGAGCACCAGGGGGGTACTTACCTGGCTATAGTAGGCGCCATCTTCATCTCCTTGGCAGGCGCAGCATCTGGAAGGCCCCTAGCGGGGTAGCGCCACATCAAGAAGGCTTCGAGGCAGAGTCAGGCATGGCGGCCTGAAGAGAGGAGGACATAGCTGCTTTTGCATTGTCTTTTGAACATCGGGCAAGGCCCTTAGTAGTCCGTCATAGCCCAGACCTGTTGGAGGTGAGGAAGATGGAGATCATGGCTATGGTTGACCTCAAAATGTGCTGGCAGTAGACGAGGGATTCAAACATTGATTCTGGTTCAGCCATTCATCGTTATTATTATCATTTATTGTTTGAATAAGAGAGGGGGAGATAAGGAGGAGGAGTTGGTAGGTGAGAGAAGGGGGTGTTGTCATTGGTCTTTTGCTGGTGTACATCTTCTTCTTCTTCTTCTTCTTCTTCTTCTTCTTCTTCTTCTTCTTCTTTGGTCTCTCGCCCCTCTCAGGTCCCTTCATTTCTTTTTGCAATTGGATGGCATTGCACTTCCTTGTGTTTTTGCACTTCGGAATTGGCCAGGGTCGTCACAATTGTAACCAAGCAGAATGAAAGAGACATTGTCCTTCGGGACATCCGTTAAAATTGGATCAATACACAGAAGAATAGCATGGCCCCTGAGCAAGGATGACACACATAAATCGAGAAATGGTCCAAATTAAGAAAAAGCAAAAAGAGTGAAAGAGAAATTGGATGAGGTGATAGAGAACTGAAAATGAAACATGCATTGAGTGACAGAAATTTGCATGCATGGAGAGAACGTTTTCACGAGCATCACAGATGAAATCACTGCAAAGGACGGGACAATGAGAATTGCAATGAACTCAGTTCAAATGACAACAGTCATAAGCCAGGGCTAGAGAATGGTCTGGGTAAAGTCCTAGGGTCAAAGAATATAGGGCCTTAAGTCAAACGAGGTGACCTGTGCCCCTATGTGAGACAGTTGACTCTTGGAAATTCAAGAGCCAGGCCCAACCCGAGAAAAGCAGACCAAGAGTCAAGGATTTCTCAGCAGTCAGTACCCATTGGGACAAGGCACATTGAGGTCGACAGCACATCTGGGCCTTATAGATTTGAGAAATCTGGGCCATCGAAGGAGAGGCAAGTGGAGGCAGGCCAGTGCAGGTCAACACTATAAAGGAGAAGCCAGGTGCACTGGCTGGCTCATTCAGCCTTGCACGTTCTAGCGACCAGACTGCTGCTCGCAAGGCTGGAAGTAGAGGGTGGCGCCAGATAGGAGAGTGCCAGCCAGGTAAGGAGAGTGGAGCTGGCCTTAGCCAGGAAGGGCGCTCTGCCACCATAGCTGTAGCGAGGAAACTGCACGAGGAGGAGGGTGATCAAGAATGTGTGTGAGGATTGAGTACGTGGGAAGCTTACCTTGACTTACCTGAACGCTGATGATACTGAAGGTGCTGCTGGTCTCATCAGGAGGTTGAAGACGACTGATTCCAGCCTCCATAGCTGGTGCTGATGCTGGAGGTTGGGCACCATAGCTGGTGCCTGCAGAGAGACTTCATAAGAGACATTCAGAGAGGGAGTTGCAAAGCTGTGGTGGCAAGTTGGTGAGGAAGATCCCATTGATGAAGAGGGAGTGGAAGAGTGTTATTGATTACTAATGCAACTCCCTTTCTCTCTCTCTCTCTCCATCTCGTCTCTTCCTTTGTCTATTTCTGGTGACTCGCTGCTCAAGCTGGGTGCATTTTGCGTTAATCTGGACTAAGTCTACATCTGCGAGTGATTCCATTCGAGAGCATTAATGAAACTTGCATGATCTTGTTGTGAGAGCTTCTCATACAGAGTCTACATCTGTGAGTGATTCCATTCGAGAGCATTAATGAAACTTGCATGATCTTGTTGTGAGAGCTTCTCATACAGAGTGGGTTCATTACAGAATGATGAGAAGAAGAGAAAAAGAACATGCACATATAGAAGTAGAGAAAGTGAGGCATGTGAGGAAATCTGTGAAGAGAACCTCTAACCTGGTTGGTGATCGTCATTACCCATGATAGTGATGTAGTAACGGAAAGTCAGAATAAGAAAGCTTCCTTTTTTTTTTCCAAAGAAATCAACAGATGTGAACCAACCTCAAATCGAAGTTGAAGATTACAAACGCAGAGATTAGTGGGCAAGGATTTGGGGGAGCAGACAGAAGACTGAAAGCATATGAACGAATGGTTCGAGTAAAAGCGAATTTCGAGAGGAGGTGGCGGGGGTATTTTGCAAGTGAAGCTCCGCTTGCGCCACAAAGGAATGGGGCGAGAGGTGATCTTACATGAAGAGAAACAGAAAGAAATTCCAACCCAAGATACTCAGAGATTACCAGTTCAAGAGGAAATAAAGAATATCCCCTGCACGAGAGGAAAATGAGCATGGTTACGATCCGGACATCCGAACCGCCGTCCAGACGGTCTGGATCCAGTCCGGACTCCAGACGTCCGGTCTGGAAGGTCTCAATCCACCAAATTTCGAGGGGAAAAAAAAAACAGAAACGGTCCAGGACCCTTCCCCATTTAGGAGCCAAGCCCCCAAAATTGTCTTGGGGGGTTTTCAGGCCCGTTTATGCTTTTTCTGGGGGTCCAAACATGCTCTCTCTCTATAACAATTTATTAGACAACCCCAATTTTTTAATTATTGATAATTCATTACCTTTTATAAGTTTTATTAGTTTTTAAATCTTTTTTTTAAATGAGGAGGAAGTAAAAGCAGTTCCTTGAGGGAATAGACGTTATAATGGAAGGGGGTCCCCAAGACGCCGACATTCATGGCTGTACGCTGTCTCCATCCGCGCGTGGATGTAATGCGACGCCATTAAACCTCTATGGCTGCCCTCCAAGGAAGAACTCGCGTCTGAATCGTGAGGGCATGTAGGAAGGGGTGCTACCATCGCCACGGGATGGAAGCTCACGGAACGGTTACAAGCGGGAGAAGCGGAGGAGGAGCGGAGTCAGGGAGGGGAACACGGCAACGGAAACATAAGCACAAGGAACATGCAGCCAAGACGAGGTGAGTGACGGTGGCTGGGACCAACCACAGCTTCAACAAGAACCATCGAGAGGGTGAACGGGGCACAAGGTTGGCGGACTCTGGAGAGGACTGGTCTGGGTCTGGAGGAGCCGAGCTTGCAACAAAGGGCGGGGAGATCTCGTCACCATCACTGTGTCACCACATGCAGACCTTAGAAATGCGAAACACAGACAAGAGTGGGTCAGGACAGGGAGCAAACTGTACACGTACAGCCGGGTTTAGCGAAGTGGAGGCTAGGCAATCGAAGTCAGCAGACTCAGGAGAGGAGGAAGCTTGGGAGGGGGGAGTTCGGGAGCTCGACGAAGGACAGGAAGAACATGTTTTCACCACAACTTTAACAAGAAGCATCGAGAAACGAGTGTACAGAGCACAAGGTCAGCGAATTCCCGAGAGGAGTAGGCCCGGGGGGGGGGGGGGTTGCGCTAGCAGCGAAGGGTGCAGGAATCTCGTCACCACCACCACCTAACTGCGCGCAG